TCAAGATCAGGGTCCTTCTCCGGGTCTGATGTCTGTACTTTTTCTTTCTTTATGTAAGCTTTTACACACATATTTTCAAGTCTCTTCCAGAGAGTTCTATTATCTCTAGTTCTAGGCTGTGAATTCTGTTTGTTGCATGTTCTGACTCTCTTTTGAGTTTTCATAGGGGACTTTAATATTTTACTCTTAAGTCATCTTCCTGGAGTTTTTTTTTTTTTATTCCTGGAGGTTTTTATGGACTGTACTGTCTCCTCAAAATCCACAAGTTGAAACCTTGAACCCGCAAAGACTGCATTTGAAGATAGGCTCTTTAAAAACATAATTAAGGTTTAATGAGGTCACAGAGTTGGGGCCCTAATCCAATGAGACTGGTGTTCCTATAGGGAGAGTCGCCAGAAGAAAGTACACAGTAGAAACCTCAAGTGAGTCTAAGAGAGAAGATGGCCACAACCCAAGAAGACAGGTCTCACCAGAAATCAGCCCTGGTAACACCTTGATCTGGACTGTTAGCCCCAAAACTGCTAGAAAACAAGTATCTGTTGTTTAGGCCATGGAGGCAGTGCTATTTTGTTATGGCACCTTGAGTACAGTGACACAGGGGTATTTCAGGAGCCCCAGTACACAGCAACCCCCACCTAAGTGCAGCTCATATTCCCCCTATTGTGTCCTTGGTGTCACTGAATTTTTATTAGGACTTTTGTTAAGTTCCCAACTTGTCATTCTTCCACCACATAAGCAGTAGCCATTTGGAACTCTGAGTTTGCTTAGAGCTGTTTCATACTGCCAGTTTCCCCAAAACGACTCATTTCAACTTCAGTTGGCATTTTCCTAGTTCCACTTTCAAGAATGCAGCAAAATAACTTCCTGTCTCAAAGGATCTTGCAGGTTATATATGTTCAGTGTCCTTGTATATGGACCCTGTGTCCTGGGCTCCTCTGGGAGGGTATGAAAGCATCAGACTCAGCAATTAGGGTCAGTTCCCCAGTTCTGGTAACTCTGTGAGAATGTGGACCTCTAATTATAGCTAAAGAATTACCTTGAATTCTTTAAAAAAAAAAAAAAAAAGAATTACCTTGAATTTCTTTCTTCCCCCCTGGGATCTTAGGAGTCCTCTTTCTTGATTCTTTACTCTGGCTAAGTATTTCAAAACTACTTCCTTTATAATTTGGTGGATTTGATAGTGGAAAGGACATTATTCTGCATCAGCTTAATTTCACATAGTGACCAGATACCCTTCTGCTCTATCTCAATATGCCACCTTATTTGTCCCCATCATATCTCTTCTGACTACTTGTCACAGCAAACAAAAGTTATTTTCCCTTTCTCTGCTTAATAATTTAAATACTAGCATTTTCAGAGGACTGGTTTTCTCCTCTGATCATCTCCTTAAAGGAACTAGTCTACTACCAGTGTTACAAATAACTCATTTAAAAAAAATAATGATTTGATATCTCAACAGCCACATTTGGTGGAGAGGTAATTTCCATCCAGCCAGCCTCCTTAACACATTATCATTACACAGCAGCTACAATCAACACCACTTTTAGTGAGATAGGGCAGCTTTCTGGACTTTTAACTTGTATTATACTTAATTGATATCCATCCTTCTAATCATTTTTGTTTTCATATAGTTTTCTCTTGGCTGCCAGAGGTATTTTTTTCTCTATTTAAAACAAACAAACAAACAAAAACAAAACTAATCAATAGTCTTTTATCCCATGGATCTTTCCAGTAGATTTCTTTTGACCATAGGATGACATCTAAATTCTTCAGCTTGTACAAATGAATCTTGATCACTGAGTCTTTGACAACTGGTTTAGTTGGACTTACTTTTCACAGGGCTCCATTACACCATTTTTTTTTATTTATTTATTTATTTATTTATTTATTTATTTATTTATTTATTTATGAGAGTCACAGAGAGAGAGAGAGGGGCAGAGACACAGGCAGAGGGAGAAGCAGGCTCCATGCACCGGGAGCCCGATGTGGGATTCGATCCCGGGTCTCCAGGATCGCGCCCTGGGCCAAAGGCAGGCGCCAAACCACTGCGCCACCCAGGGATCCCTCATTACACCATTTTGAATTCCAGCTTAATTAAGGTAGTTGTAATATTATATTTCCATGACTTCATTCCAGCTATTTCTCTCCCTGAAACGATTGCTCCTTGACCCCTCTCACACCCTTTAACTCAATATCACTTTCTCAAGTCTTTTAGTCTTTTCCAGGGAAAGTTGACAACATCTTCCTTTATATTTCTGCCACAAATAGTTTTTCTTGGCACTTACAATTTTAATTCCATTGATGTAATAATATACCTTGCCTCCTACTCTGAGATTATGAGATCTTTTAAGACAGAGTCTCTCAACCTCAGCAATATTGATGTATTATACCAGATAATTGTTTGTTGTGTGGGCTGTCCTGTGCAATTCAGGATATTGAGCTGCTTCCCTGACCTGTAAACACCAGATATTAGTCCAACCCACGCCTCATCAGAAATGACAACCAAAAATGTTTCCCAATATTGTCAAATGTCCCCAGGGAGTGGAAGCCCACAATCATCCCTAGCTGAGAACCACTGCTTTCAGATAGGAATTGTACTTCAAAAGCCCTGTGTCCAAGGCCACCACCTATGTTCTGGAAATATCACTTGACTGAATGAGTGATATTCAAACTAAAAAAAAAAAAAAATAGTTACCAACAGATAGTAAGTGTGTATGTATGCACATATATAACATGTGTGTATATAGATAGCCAGAGACATGGGGACTGAGATCTTCTCATTCTTTGGAATGTTAGTGTAAGTTATACTTTAAAACACATAAAATATTTAACTTGTGAACTGCACTTCTGAGTAATTTGGAGAGCTCAAGTTGAAATAATATTAAAAGGACATGAGATTGGCTCTATATATGCATGTCATAATGAAGGACCAAATGCCAACTAAAATACACAGTTAAGCGAGAACAATTAGCAATTTTATGAATTGGCTGCCAGTTCAAATTTATTTTGCCAAGGCTACTGTTTAGTTAAGTCCATTTCTGCCAATTATAAGAGCCTTCATTGAATGAGCTTATGTTTGAATTTCAACAATTCTGCATTTAACCTGAAGCAAATATAATCTCCCAGGCAATTGTCAAAACAAGAGACTATTGACAATGAGTCCCAGAAATAAAAGCTAAACAAAAGAAAAATCATACTTCCTAACTGTTCTTCCCTTAGACTTTGATAAATATCTAGAGAATACTTAGAATGTGCTAAATATTTGAAGGAAATAAAAATATTTTCAAAAATCTTTTTACTCCTTACTGAAATAAGTAATTCCTGTGTTGCAAATAACATAAAGAAGTAAAATCAAAAGGTTAACAATATCCAAGTGAATAGCCATTCCTCTCATTTGGAAAAAAAAAAAAAAAAAACAAAGAATCATATAAAAAGACATCATGAAATTTCAGCCTTAGAGGAAAAAATGTTGTTAATATCCGACTTATTTATAATATGACACCAAAAAAACCCTGGAAAACTATTAACATTAACTATCAGCTGAGCAATTACCTCCATTTGCAAATTTTAGTCCTGAAAACTCTGCAATAATATGCAAAGCCATGTATTCTATATTTAAATAACGACATTAGGAAACAGAATTCGGCATTCAGTTTGAGTTACGGGAGACTGACGTGTAAAATGAATTACATAAGGATCAAAACCTGGAAGAAAATATGTCACAAAGCTAACAATTATTTCTGGATTGCAGGACGAACAGGGACCATATGATCTCTTCTTTAGACACCTCAGTATTTTAAATTTATCATCAATCTTCATGGAGTATTATACATATGCATAAATGATAAGCTAAACAAAGGTTTTATTCTGTGACTCTATGCAGATTTGAGAATATAGCAAGGCTTTCTTCTTTTTTTTTTTTTTTTTAAATTCACCATGTAGTCATATTATTCTGACAGAAGTTTCAGATACAAGGGAAAAAAGTCAAATTTTATTTCTATACTTTGCTAAATGGTTGTAGAATGTAACTTAGCAAGCAGGTAAAATTAAGAATTAATTTGAAGTGTTCCATGTTAAGGTTGTCCTTGTCTCCCTGCCTCCTTCAAAATTCACCTCTTAAAAAGAACTTCCTTCCGTATCAACCAACATATCTTGGGACACTGATTACAACTTGTGTTAGGAGATTGAAAAACTGGGAGAAAGGAGACCAAATGTACAAAAGCTCCAATTCTTCTTTTTCCAAAAGGACTTTGGTATCATTGGAGTCTATATTGATGCCATCCTTATTTAGATGATGCACATCATCCCTCTCTTATATGGCAGTTACAGGTCTGCCTCCCAAGCGGAGTGTCTCAAGTATTCAAATGGAATCACTTATTCTTTAGATTCAATCCCCTTGAGTTAAATGCACGTTCAGGTACTATCTAAATTCAGGAATTAAAAAAAGTGCAAACAGCCAGTGTCTAGGAAACAGTAAGTATTTAATAAATATTTGAAAGAATGTATTTACAGAGAAAGAAAATTGGTTTATACAAATAACAAAACAACAAAAAGCAATAAAATAAATTTTTGTGGTCTCAGCATAATTTGGAGTTCTAACTACAACAGCATACCATGGACTTGAAGTTATTTCTTTCTCTGTGGTTTAGACTTTCCCAAAAAATTTTCCAAGACGCTTTGGTTCAAAATATGTATTTGGTTTTTTTGGATTTTTTTTTTTTTTTTTTTGCTTTTTTTTGTTTGTTTGTTTCGTTGGACTCTAACCTTTCCAAACACCTATCATGTCTACCAGGCAGCTGTCTTGAGACCAGCATAATTGCTGTTCTCTGCAGGAACAGGATTCCCCTGATTATTGCAGAGCTTGAGTTTATGTTTACTCAGGTCCCTGCTCAAAGGTCAAAGGTTGCTGGCTATTAGTTTCCTGGAAGCTTGAGCAACAATCTCCCTGAATCTATCTGAGAAAGAGATGGGTGACCTTGTAGGATGGTCCAAACGATTTATTAAGATAGTGGTTTCATGTAAAGCGCCTAACCAACACTGTGATTCCCATTTGCTAAGCCATCATGCAGGGAATGTTGCCTTCACTGCCGAAGATGACACTTGCGGAGAGGAAGCAATGATTGTCTGAGAACGTGAGACTGAAGGGCAGATTCACAGGTACAAGAATTTCTGTGTGTGTGTGTGTTTCCATTTGCCTGTTAGCTTCTGCATCATTTACATTATTTCTAAAATTAGATTTGGAGTCTATGTGAAGACTTGAACTGGAAAATAACCTCACAATTGGATTTCTTCTTTATTCTTCAAAGTTCTGTATCTGTTAGTCTGGTTTATTAATGAGTCCTTGAGAATACGCTATTTGCTGTTCCTGAAACAGCTTCACATACCCTTCTCCCCCCAACACACACAAGACCTTTACACTTGCTGCTCCCTTTTCTTGGGATGATCTTCTCAGAAGTCCATATGGCTTGTTCCTTCCTGCCCTTGTGGTCTCTCATCCAAGGACATCTTAATAATGAGAAGACAGCCATCTCTTCTGTCCCCCACCCCAATGCCTTCTCTGTCTTCCCTTCTTCTTATGCTTATCATTACAATCATCTGCAATATTACATTTAAGCTTACAGTTCACCTGTACACAAAGTAGACAATAACCTTCATGAGGACAAAGACTCTGTTCACTGCTGTGACACCTGCTCCTACAACAGGGCTGGAAACCTACAAGCTGTTTAACGACAATTTGTTGAATGAATGAAATCATGAAATAAATGCTAGCTATGTACATAAAAAAGGGACCATAAACACACGTGGCACACACAAACACCACCGCCAGAGAGTTTCCATTACGGTCAGAGGGTAGGTATTGAACAATTATCAACAGGATGAGTTTACAAGCATTGATTCAAATATGCTACAGGACAGTGTGGTATCTCCAATTCAGTCTATCACCCCCTAGATATCCAGGGCTTGAAGTTTTCACATGAAACGAAGGTACAGGTAGAGAGAAAGGTAGAAGAATTGCTGAAAAATTTGTATCTCAGCCATGGTGGGGGATAAACAAAAAAATATAAACTCCCTCCCCCAGCTAAGGATGTCAGGGCATATAAATCAACTCATTCATATGTAGGATGAGAGAATATATAAACTAATGAACAGACAAATCTGTCAGTAAAGAAATATAAGAATTAGAAACCTGTATTTCTTATATATTAGCCAGGTGACATCAGCAAGGTATTTAAATTCTCTTATATATCAATGGATCATCGGTAAAAATAAAGATAAAATTAGAACTCACCTCATCCCGCTTCTGAAATAATAAAATGAGAACATTTAGGCAATATATTTAGCACAGTTCTTGAGCATATGTGAGCGATTAGTGCTATTATTTAGTAAATTATTACTTTTTAGATACCACCTGCTTCAAAAACAGGGTTTGAAGAAAATAAAAAGGACAAATTTAAAGCTAGTAAAAACATCTCTGAGTCAAGGAGTGAAGGGTGATGAGGGGAGATATTCTGAGATACTCTAGTTGACTATCCTCTGACCACTTCTCCTCACATCTTTCTAATGGAATCTGGAATTGGTATGGGGCAGTATGCCTGGTTCTACTTCTCAGGCTCACCCACTGGTAGAAGTGGCTAATTAAATTCTAGTCAACGGAACAGAAATATAATTTTCTAGATGTAACTTCTAGGAAAGCATTTTGAAAAATGGAAACTGGCTCAACTTAGATATGACTTTTACCTCTCAGCCTTCTCCTACCTTCTTCCTGGAACATAGGCTGCCAGTGGGAGCCTTCCCAAGCATCTACTAACTACGGATTGACCTCAAATATGGAAGCTCTGAACTAAGAATATGTGCAGAAAGAGAGAAAGAGCCCGGATCTCTGATATCAACAAAGTGTTGAAGTGTCGCATGGGCCTGAACAGCCACCTCTTGTTTCCTCTCTCGGTGGAGTTTGGCTACTTTCTGTTGAACCACTTCATGGTTAAACAAAAATTTTAACTAATAGAGGTGAGACAGTTGTCCCAAATCATGAAAAGAGTCAAAAGCAACCTATTGCATGTACATATAGCTGAGCTGTAACTTTCCAACGGCCAGGGAAAAGGAACACAATGAAATCATGTAAGATTATAAAGTTCTCTTGAATGTATTAATAAAAAAAAAGCAAAATCCAAGTCTATATACTGCCAAATGTATTCCAGTCATTAGAATCCAAAAGAACCATTCAATGGGGTTTTATGTAAGGGGAGCACATGGTATCTTGACTTGTATATTTTATAGTTTTATGAAGCTCTGAATTAATCTTCATGTGTTTATTTCCTACAGTGACCTTTGACAAAAAGGAAAATGTTAAACGTTATAGGATCGTGAAAACATCATTTTCTAAATGTATGACCTGATTTAGAAGGAGAAATTCAAGAATGCAAAAGAAAGAACAGTTTGAATGAATCTTGCACACTTCTAAAATAAATCAATGGAGGCTTGCTACACCCTGAGCTAAATATCAATAATTTTGACATTAACATTTTTGTGAAGTGCCTGAAACGCTAGCATGATTTTAGTAAATAAAAGGTGACCACATGTGCTCTAATTTGGGATGTGAATTGACAACTGTGGCCATTCAGTCATAAAATTCAAGTGCTTGCTCAGAAAGAGGAGGATCCCAGTGTGAAGCCAGAGAGCTTCTGGAAGTAAGACCAAGACATTTATTAACGCAGTTTGGAGTTTACTCTAATGCTTTAATAAATACTTACATGAAAGTCATACAGATTAGCATCATAAAGCATGGAGAAGACTTTGGCCTATATGAATTCTGAGAGCAGAAACTACTACTTGCTAATCTTGGTAACCAAAAATAATTTTTATCGGGCTCACATAGACCAACATAATTATCTACTATCATCCGCTCAGCGTAGGATTGGGGAATCAATGCCCAGGTATGGAATCCTAAAATAAGAAACAAGGGAATGTCAACTGTGCATTCAAATGATGCTCTACTAGTTATGAAAGTGAGATCTCTGCAAGGGAAAAGAGTTCTCCCTTAAATATGGAAAGCAAGGGAATTCACAATAGAAAAGCTGACAGAGATAGGGCAGCCTTAATTTACATGTCAGCTATAATATCTGCCTTACAAGACTATTTACTTGGTAACTCGATGGCATTCCTTAAACTTAGTTACCGTAGCAACTGCCACATGACACATCAGCCTCCAAGACAGAGAACTTCTTTTGCAAGAAACAAAAGCACCATCAATATCTCAGAGGAACATTATCATTTTAAGGAATGCTGATGGTGTGAAGGATAGGTGTTAGCCCCATTCACTGATTTTTTTTTAATGTCTACATTCTACTAGAGTGTCAACAGTGCTTTCAAAGCTTTTTTCTCTTATTTATCACTTCACTGTCTTAAAAAAAATGTTAATTACCTGAAATATTAGCTTTCAGTTAAAGCTGTTAGGAAGCCTGCCACAAATCAAACTCCAACATACCTTCGCAGAAAACCCTTCAAGGACTCTAGATCTAGTTTAGTTTTTCCTAAATGGCATTGCATAGATCACCAGTATTGGCCATTGTGGTGCTTTGCTAAAAAGGGAAATTCTGGGGTGCCTGGGTGGTGGCACAGTGGGTTAAAGTTTCTGACTCTTGATCTCAGGATTGTGAGGATTGTGAGTTCAAGCCCCATGTTTGATTCCTTGCTGGGCATGGAAACTACTAAAAAAAAAAAAAAAAAGAAAAAGAAAAGAAAAGAAAATAAAGAAGAAAGAAAAGAAAAGAAAAAAAAGAAAAGAAAAGAAAAATTCCTTGGTCCCAACAGAGACCAACTACATCAGAATATTTGGGGTAAGATGTAGAAATTTGCATTTTTGGTAATTTAAATTAGTGATGTGTTCTTTATATAAAACGTTTATTTTCTTACCTCTGCTTCTTTGCTAACAAGCTTCCTCACCTTGAATGCCCCTCCTTAACTCCAGGTGTACAAATACCACCAGCAACTCATGGTTTAGCTTAGTTTCTTGGGGGGGGGGGGAACTTCTCACCAAAAATTAAAACTCTACTACTGTACTACTTTTTTATTTCTCAAATTGTTCTAATTCCCACTCTTTTTTTAAAACAGCATATTTAATTCATTAACATACATATTAGGGACATTCTCTCCCGTTGCCCTCCATTGTATTTCGTGTAGCTTTTTAATACAATTTAGCTAGTATAATTAAAATAAATACTAAAATGAGAGGTGCCTAGGTGGCTCAATCAATAAGGTGCCGGACTCTTGATTTTAGTTTAGGTCACGATCTCAGGATCATGGAATAAAGGCCCTGTTGGGGCACTGTGCTCAGCACTCAGAGTCTACTTGTCCCTCTCCCTCACCTTCTGCCCCTACCCCTGACTCTCACATGTGCACACCCTCTCTCATAAATAGATGATAGATGATGATGATAGATAGATAGATAGATAGATAGATAGATAGATAGATGATAGACAGAATCTTTTAAAAATTACTGAAATTAGGACATCTCTCACTGGCTAGGGTCTTCTGAGAGTAGAGGCAATGCTTATTCATTAATGTGTCCAAGTGCCTGAAACCATATAGGTGTCAACAAGTGTTCATTTAATTAGCCTATATTTAATAATACTTAAAATAATATATCAAAAACTTACATAAGATTGTTGAGCTCTAACTCATTTCAACTTCACATGAGTTATGCAGTAGTCACTATTAATGCTGCTCTTTTACAGATGAGGAGATACAGCCTTGAACAGATCAAGCCACCTGCCTTAGATACACAACTAGTAAGTTACAGATCAAGATTTAAAAATTGGGCTGCAATAGGAACCCAAACTTCAGCCACTAGGTAGGGTGCCCCTTTCCTTAAGAAACTATGAACTAATAATATTTAATTTTTATGGATATTGGTTAGAATATAGAAATGAAAGAATATAGGTATGAAGCACATGTGTCCTGCCACAAAGGTTTAGCCTTAACAAATGAAATCAACGTTCAGAACTTTCTCTTTCTTCATGTCTTTTTACAATCATCATATGAAGATCCAGGAATGGGTGTAAAAACAAACAAAACAATTAACACTGAACTATACTTTCTTGCACAGACTAAATCTTTTCCTAGGCCATGTCTTCACCTATGAAATAGGACACTTGACTTGCATGATCTTAACCTGTATGATTGCTTACAGCGATAGAATAGACTGGAACTCTAGGGTTCAGAATGCCTATCCACCTACGACATATTTTTAGGTCTTAGAGAGGAAATGTCTCCCCAGCCTGGTAGGTTCTCCTAGAAAAGTATTTCTCATCCACCAAAATTCTCCCGTACTTAGAGCAACAGCCAAAATCCTAATGATCCACAAGAATTCACCTGTACTTCCCATCTCTTCCCTTTGTCATAGTCCCTTCGGACTAAAGTGGCCTTGCTGCTATGCTTTTAAGTCAGGGCCTTTGAACTGGCTAATCATTCTACCTGGAGTCTTCCTCCCATGTAGGAAAAGGACTCTCTTCACATCCTCAAATGTCACCTTCTCACTGAGACTTACCCTGGCCATCCTATTTAAAATTGCATACCCTTACTCCATCCTGATAACCCCATTTTTTTCTTTTAATTTCTACATAATTAACTTGTTTTTTTTTTCCTTTTCATCCCACTACAACATGAGCTCCAAGATGAGGATCTTGTGTGTTTTCATACCTCAATATATCCCCAGCACCTAGCACAGGAGTTCATACAGCATGAGCCCTCAGACATTGTTGATTGGATTAATTAAAAATTACTCCTCTATTCTTCTTCTCATCCATTCATCTAAAGAACTTCTATTAATTGATGACTGTTGGGCATAATGCTTGCTGCTGAACTCTTCTTAATGAATTTTGAAACTCCCCAAACCTCACATAACTCCACCTATCCTGGCCACTAAAAATGTGTCCATGTGAAAATGATTAACATTTACTAAATTAATAAAGAGCGGGTTGTTCCTTTAACAGAAACCGAGTGTCGAAACTTAGACTCTGAACATTTACCCCAGCCTTAAAAGTGTGTCCTTGAAATCAGTCTTGTGTTGCCGCAAACAACAAAGAAAAATGGAAAAATTTAGGGTTTTGTATATCATGAGATTTGCAGGCTATTAGGCTAAATTAGCTCCGGTTGCCTGAAGGATGTCTTAGGTAACTGCAGCCATCCCCAAGCATTACCGAATCTAATTCCTGATGCCATACTTTGGGGAAAATATAAAGAAATCAGAGAAATGCAGGGAGCTCCTATCACAATGATAAAATGCATGAGTAGACCAGACTCTGAGAAAGATCAATCAAATTAGAAACATACAGCCCCCCCCCCAAAAAAAATAAAACCCACAGATCACTGAAGGGGAGGTTTCTTCTCTACAAATATTAAAGGAGAGCAACAAAGAGAAAAAGACTTTTATTCTGATTATGTAATGGAATACTGTTTTTAAAAGCACTCGGATCTTATATATATGAGAATCTGCACTAAACAAGACTGTCTTTCTATGGAAAACCAGCATTAGAAGCCAAAATGGGTTTCTCCATACCACTGTTGTGCAGTGGATTTCTAATTGAGACTACTAGGGATCATGAAGGACCCTGAACAGGGATGATCTCATTGCTGAGTAATTGGGATGGATATACAGCATTTTATTTTATTGGAAAGACTCAGTAATTCCCTAGATATGCATGTATGATTATTGCAGGGGAGCACTTTCATGAAACTGGAAGGAAAACAAACCAAAAAAAAAAAAAAAAAAACGTTCAGGTCTTTGAAATACCAGAGTTAAAATATGGGGCTCTGTTCCTTATTTGGTGGAAACAGCCCCTAAAATATATGCAATGAGATCCACTTTCTCTGTTCCATAACTATTGGCTGGGAAGCTAAAAGGAGCCACTGTGTTGCTATGGAGAGTCATGGACCAGAATTTATGAAAACTGTGTCTTTGCCCAGGTTGTCTAATTACCTTTTTTTTTTTTTTTTTTTTTTTTAATTCTGGTAAGCTGTTAAATGAGGTTAGGGGTTATCCTAAGTACCTTAGTGTTGATGGTATTGAATGTGGTCTCTCTAAAAATGAGAAAGTACATTAGAGAACCCATTTTTCCACAAATTAAAGCATTCTTCAAATGCCTACTATTAGAGATTTCTAAATAATAATAATAATTAATAATAATAATAATAATTAGAGATTTCTGAACATGACAATGGTGATAATGGTGGATGATACTCTTCAGGGAAGTTTTGTAGGCATCACTTCTCTTTTGGCAGAACTTGGATGGGTTTTACCCTAACTTTGTTCTTCTCTCCCTCCTCTCTTCTATGTGATCTGTGGAAAGGATCTTTCTAAAGGAAGAATAATGGCCCATTTTCTCAGTTGTGCTCAGTGAGACCACAGGAAGCAAAAAGGAGAGTTAAGTGTCTTCACTATCAGTAGACTTTCCTCAAATATTCCAGATTAAACCCCCTACGTGATTTTTATGTTGACTTTGCCACGTAGGTGCCCACCTTTGGCTAATGAGGAAAGAGATGTTTAAACATGCCTCAACTTTATCATTTTCTCTGGTTACGTTTCTCGCAAATTGTTTAGTCCTGAGCATAATCATTCCTCCCTTTCAAAATCCTTCTAAAGAAACGCCATTCCGATTTAACTCTCTAAGGTGTAGTATTTTGCTTTTTTTCAAGTCATCCCACTTAAGTTGATACACTAGCATAAGGAAAATTAAAAAAAAAAAACACTTTAATTTTTCAGTTTTGATTTTTTTTTTTTCTTAGCCATACCTATAACCTTAGATCTTGAATAATGATCTCCAGGGTACAACCACCTTTCTAGACAAACTAAATTTTTACACTTTCTAACATACTCTGGTTTTATCTATATGTATTTTCTTCTTCCCTCTGCAATTTTGTGTAAGAATCACACCAACTTATTCTACAGGCATGCCCTGGGTCTGCTGACCCATCTGTGTAGAAAAGTCTACAAGCCTGCAAAAAAACATAGAGAGCACCCATACGATGCAGGAAATCTGAAGGGTCAGATATTTCATCTACTAAGTCACATATCCTGTATATTTGTTTGCCAAGTTTATCAACAGACTGGTGAACAAAGTAAAATAAGAAAAAAAATCAATCATTAAGCATCCTATAAATAATACCCTCAAACATCTTCAAAATGCTAATGCTATCTATCTATGTCTTTATTATTCTTCCTTGACCTTAAATGTAGAATTTTCTATTGCCAGGATAGGCAATTACTATTAGTCTTATTTTTTACAGATGAAGTATTGGGATAAACCTCTACTATCCAGGATGCCAGTTCCAATTACGGGAACAAGCTCTACCTAACAAGTTACATTCTATTCTGTAGAACCTAATAGGTATTTATTTAATGATGTTTGTCATGATATACACAGCTAACTATCTGTTTTTCTTTTTTTTTTTCTTTAAACTGAGGCAAAAGTAGTGTATAACATTTGTTTCAGGTGTACAACAGGATTCAATATCGGCATACACTACAAAGGGATCATCACAGGAGTCTAGTGACTGTTCCTCACTACACATTGGCCTCTTTCACCCATCACCCACCCTCGACCTCCTCTGAGAGCCATCAGTAAGTTGTTCTCTGTATCTAGGAGTTTTGATTTCTTGTGCTTTGATTTTTAGATTCTATGTATAGCTGAAATCATGTGCTATTTGTCCTTCTCAATCTGACACATTTCCTTGATATAATACCTTCAAGGTCCATCCACGTTGTTGCAAATGGCAGGATTTACTTTTTTTTAATAGCTGAATAGTATTCAGTGTGTGTGCGTGTGTGGGTGTGTGTGTGCACATGCGCATGTGTGTATCACAACTTCCTTATCCAGTCATCCATCTATTGGCACTAAGGTTATTTCCATATCTTGCTATAATGCAGGGAATGCAGTGAATAATGCTGCAATAAACATAGGGTGCATATATCTTTTCTCAAAATAGTGTTTTTATTTCCTTTGAATGAATACTCTAAAATGGAAAAACTGGGTTAGGTGGTGGTTCTCTTTTTAAACTTTTTGGGGAACATCCTTACTGTTTTCCACAGCGGCTGCACCAATTTATATTTCCACCAACAGTGTCTAAGGGTTCCCTTTTTCCACATCCTGGCCAGCACTGGTTATTTCTTGTCCTGTTGATCACACCCATTTTTATCAGTGTGAGGTGATAGCTCATTGTGGTTTCAATTCACATTTCCCTGATAATTAGTGATGTTGAACATCTTTTCATGTGTCTGACGGTAATTTGTATGTCTTGAGAAAAATGTCTTTTGAGATTCTCTACCAATTTTTTTAATTAGTTTTTGTTTTGTTTTGTTTTTGTTTTGTTTTGTTTTTTTTTGCTATTGAGTTGTTTGGGTTCTTTATATATTTTGGATATTAACCAGGATAGATATATAATTTGAAAATAGTTTCCCCTAGTCAGTAAGTTGTCTTTTCATTTTGTTGATGACTTCCGTAGCTGTGTGGAAGCTTTTTAGTTTGATGTAGCTGTACTTTTTTATTTTTGCTTTTGGAGTCCAATCTAAAAGTTCAGCACAAAGACCAATGTAAAGAAGCTCTGCCTCTACATTTTCTTCTAGGAATTTTATGGTTTCAGGTCTTACATTCAGTCTTTAATCCATTTTGAGTTCACTTTTGTGTGTGTCATAAGATGGTAGTTGAGTTTCATTCTTTTGCATGTGAATGTCCAGTTTATCCATCATTTACTGAAGAGATGGTCTTTTCCCCACTGTATGTTTTTGGTTCCTTTGTGGTAAATTGACCACATAGGAGTGGGTTTATCTCTGGGCTTTCTATCCTGTTCCATCGATCTAGGTGTCTGTTTTTATGTCAATACCATACAGTACTGATTACTACAGCTTTATAGTGTAGTTTGAAATCAGGGAGCATGATACCTCCAGTTTTGTTCCTCTTTCTCAAGATTGTCGTGTCTATTTAGTCTTTGTAGTTCCAACAAATGTTAGATTTGTTCCACTTCTGTGAAAACAAAAACAAACAACAACAAAATAATTCCATTGAAATTTTGGCAGGGATTGCATAGAACCTGTAGATTATTTTGGGTAGGAGGGACATTTTAACAATATCAATTACTTCAATCCATGAGCACAGATCTTTCCATTTGTTTGTGACTTACTCAATTTCTTTCTTCAATGTCTTATAGTTTTAGTGTATAGATCCTCCACCTCCTTGGTTAAATTTATCCCCAGGTATTTTATTCTTTTTTAATGCACTTGTAAATGGGATTATTTCTCTTTCTATTGTTTATTAGTATATAGAAACACTTAGGATTTCTATACATTGACTTTTGTATCCTGTAACTTTACTGAATTCATTTATTTTAGTAGTCTTTTTGATGGAGTCTTTAGGGTTTTCTATGTATAATATGTCATCTGCAAATAGTGACAGCTTTACTTCTTCCTTTCCAATTTGGATGTCTTTTATTTCTTTTCTTGTCTAATTGCAATGGCTAGAACTTCTGATACTATATTGAATAGAAGTGACAAGAATCTGCATCCTGGTCTTGTACCTGATCTCAGAGGGAAAGTCTTCAACTTTTCACTGTTGTGTTTGATGTTAGCAACAGGACTGCCATACCTGAATTCTGTTATATTGAAGTATGTTCCATCTATACCCACTTTGTTGAGAGTTTTTATTATAAATAAATTTTATTGATGCTCTTTCTGCATCTTTTGAGATGATCATATACTTTTTATCCTTTGTGGGTGTGGTGTTTCATGTTGATTGACTTGTGGATCTTGAACCATCTTTTTAATCTTGAAATAAAGCCAACTTGAAATAAATCCCACTTCACTTTGGTTTGCTAATATTTTGTTGAAAATTTTTGCATCTATGTTCATCAGGAATATTGGCCTGTAATTTTCTCTTTTGGTGGTGTCCTTGTCTGATTATGGTATCAGAGTAATGCCAGCCTCTTAAAATGAGTTTGGAATTATTCCCCTCTCTCCAAGTTTTTGGAAAAGTTTGAAGAAAATATTAATTTTTCTTTGTTTGTAGAATACACCAGTGAAACTATCTCATTCTGGACTTTGGTTTGTTGAGAGGCTCTTCCATTACCAATTCTATGACCTTAACAGTAATAAGTAATAAGTCTATTCAGATTTTGTATTTCTTCATATTTCAATCTTGGAAGATTGTATGTTTTTAGGAACTTATCCATTTATACTATGTTACCTAATTTTTTTGGTCTACAAATTGTTCAAGGTAGTCTCATGATACTTCGTGATTTTGTGGCATCAGTTGTAACTTCTCTTTCTTTTCTGATTTTATTTATTTGATCCTATTTCTTTTCCTCAGTGGATTTAGCTAAAGGTGTGTCAGTTTTACCTTTTCAAAGAACCAGCTCTTAGTTTTATTTATCTTTTCTATTTTTTTCTTTAGTCTCTCTGTACTTACGTTTTGATATTTTCTTTCTTCTACTAACTGTAGACTTTGTTCTTTTTCTGTTTCTTCTAGACATAAAGTTAGATTGTTTGAGATATTTCTTGTTTCTTGAGGTGGTCCTGTTTGCTATGAACGTCTCTCTTAGACCTGCATTTGCTATATTCCATATTTTTGATTTCCATTTTCATTTGTCTCAGTGTGTTTTTTTTTATTTTTTCCCCTTTGATTTATCCATTGACTTACTGGTTGTCTGGTAGCATGTTGTTTAGTCAGCACATATGTGTGATTTTTCCAGTTTTCTTCCTGTAACTGATTTCCAGTTCTATACCATTGTGGTCAAAGAAGATGCTTGATGTGATTTCAGTCTTCTTAATTTTATTGAGACTTGCTTTCTGCCATAAACATGTAATTTGGCCTGAAGAGAATGTTCCAAGTGCACTTGAGAAAAATACGTATTTTGCTGCTTTTGGGTGGAATGTTCTAAATATATCTATTAAGTCAATGTAGTTTAATGTGTCATTTAAACACAATGTTTCCTTATTGATTTTTTTTTTTTTTTTTTTGGTCTGTGATCTATCTGTTGATATAAGTCTGGTAATAAAGTCCCCTAGTATTACAATATTGCTGCCAATTTCTCCCTTTAGGTCTGTTAATATTTGCTATATATACTTAGGTCCTCCTATGTTGGGTGGGTAAATATAAATATTTACGAATGCTATACCTTTTTTTTTTTTGGATTGACTCTTTTATCACAATGTAATCTCTTTCTTTTATTACAGTCTTTGTTTTAAATTCTGTTTTGTCTGACAAAAGTATAGCTATACCAGCTCTTTTCATTTCCATTTGCATGGAATAATCCCCTTTTCTATTCCTTCACTTCCACTCTGTGTGTGTTCTAAGATCTAAGTGAGTATTTTATAGGCAGCATAGAGATGGAGCTTATTTTTATCCATTCAGCCACATTATGTCTTTCAATTGAAGCATTTAGTCCATTTACATTTAAAGTATAGGTATGTACTTATTGCCATTTTGTTAATTATTTTTTCTTATATACTATATGAATGAGTTCAATAGTCAGTCCTTTGTAAGAACAAAATAGACATGTTTTCATAAAATAAAATCATATTCTATCAAAGATTGTGACCCTATGCTAGCCTCAAAAAGTGCCTCCTTCAACCATCAAAGTTTATCTCAAATTCCTTTGATGTTTCACTTACCTATGCTTTGTAAACATCTCTGACCCTTATTTAAATTATCTCTTGGCTCATGATTCTTTAATATACAAGTACTTTTGATACACATGCACTTATGAATCCACTCACCATAAAAGGAAACAAACATCCCTTTTTACAATTACTTAGTCATTTTACACCTTTTAATAGTTTCCATATCCATTATATTAAGCTAAAAGATAAAGCATCAGAAGAGAAACACATTTCAGTAAAGATTTTCACTTTTTTTAGTTCAATTTAAAAGATAAAATTATAGGTACCATTGCCATCTGTGGCAAACAATCTTGCTGCCTACCAACAAATATCACCTTCTCTCTTAAAATTAAGCAGCCCAATTTTAAGCTAGGTTCTGTGCTGCCCAAGCAAATGACATTCCCATTTATTCCTCCTCACAGCTATGTGTGGCCATATGACTAAGTCTCGAGATGCATGTGACTTCTGTAAAATCACCTTGAAAGTTAGTGGGGACCTGTCTTTTTTAACCCTTTTTCTGTATCATGGTGCCTGGAATTGGATATGATGGCTGGAGTCTGAGCAAGCGTATTGGCTCACAAGGGTTACAAGCACAGCCTGGAGAAGAAGAAACAGTGAGCTTGAAGAAATGGGTTCTGAAAGAATTTGGAGCAGCTTTATAACCAATTCAATGCTGACTTTTGGCCTCAAAATGTTGGAGATTTACATATATAATACTTCAGACTTGAGGTAGGCATCGATATCTGTATTTTACAAAGAGGGATATAAAGTTTCAGGGATATTAAATGATTGACAGAAGGCCATAACAAAAGGTTTTAAATCACATTTCCTAGGACAGCTTCAGATTGCTTTCTATTAAATAATGGTTCCTCTAAATTGGCCTATTTACCAAACTAAAGAGGACACTGTTTAATTAAGCTCTCAGTTTATAGTCAGATTATGAGAAGACAATGGATAATCCCACTAACAAGGCCAAATTAGTTCATTTTAAGAGTTTAGTGGCCTTCATTTAAAGTCAGCATGTTATTTTCAAGAAACTCTTCTATTATGTTATAAGAAAAAGAGGAAAAAGGAGAAAGAAATAATACTTTTAAAATGTCAAGCAGTTGGTGTTCTTAACTACCTGGAAATTTGTAAACCCAGATATAAACAAATAGACGTGATACCCTTTATTCCAAGACGAACGAAAGTAGAGTCCCATTTTATTGGTTGCAGAGGGCATCTTTCTAAAAGTTTAGAAGAGCTTTGTCAGATGAAGTCAAAGAAAGTGAAACAAAGATGAGATTGAAGCCAGTGAGGAGGCTGATGGAGCCGCTGATACAGAAACGACAGTGAAGGTTTTGAATGGTTATGAAGACAAAGGGCAATGATAAGGAATGAAGATGGCACTTTTATCAAGGTAATGACAGTGGAAAGGGTCTCATCCTGTTTGAATCACAGACTTAAAAAAAAAAAAAGATTTTATTTATTTATTCATGAGAGACAGAGAGAGAGAGAAGCAGAGACACAACACAGGCAGAAGGAGAAGCAGGCTCCATGCAGGGAGCCCGACGTGGGACTTGATCCTGGGTGTCCAGGATCACGCCCTGGGCTGAAGGCAGATGCTAAACCGCTGAGCCACCCAGGCTGCCCTACAGACTTTTTTTAAGTTTTTATTTAAATCGCAGTTAACATACAGTGCACAATATGATGATATAGTACACACTTTACACACAGTATATTTTATGGAGTACACTGCATACAATCTAGTGGTTCAACATTTCAGTACAATACGTGGTGTTCATCTTCCTGGTTTGGATTTGGCTATTTTTCAGTTGAAATTATTAGATACTTGCCCTAAATTCTTTACTTTTCCTTCCCTAGGTTGGTCCAGTTCTATTTCTTACCATACCGGCCTCCTATATTTTGACTGGAAATAGACGAAGATAGCATCTCTGAACTCCATCAATAATACTCAGCATCTCTTAAAGACCTACGACATGCCAGGAAGCTTGCCTACATTGTCTCTTTTAGTTTTTATGGTCCCTGTTAGAATCAGAGTGTGGTCAAAGGAGCAGACTGCCTGGTGTAAGACCTAGTCTGTGCTTCTTACTAGTCCTAAGATCTTGCAAAGCTCATTTATCTGTCCTATGCTTCAATTTCTTTCGTTTGTTTTTTTTTTAAGATTTTATTTATTTATTCATGAGAGACCCAGAGAGAGAGAGAGAGAGAGAGAGAGAGAGAGAGAGAGAGAGAAGCAGAGATCCAGGCAGAGGCAGAAGCTGGCCCCATGCTAGGAACCCAGTGTGGGACTCGATCCCGGGTCTCCAGGATCATGCCCTGGATTGAAGGTGGCGCTAAACTGCTGAGCCACCCGGGTTGCCTGGGCTTCAGTTTCTTAATCTACAAAACCAGGATAAAATTATATCCACCTATCTGTGTTGTTGATAATTAAGTTAGCTGATAAATCAAAAGGATTTCGAATACTGCTTCACTATCTGCTGTTCTTAGTGTTCTTAGTGTCCCCCTCATCCCCACTGCTGAGAAGAAAACTGATGCTCAGAGACTCCACCCTATTAATAAGTGGCAGAGGTAGGATTAAACCCTGGGGCTGCTAACTCTAGAGTAGTCATCACTCCAAGAAACCCTTTGATGCCTCATTCTAATTGAGTGATCATGCCCAATGTGCAAAGACAACTTTTCAGAATGCTCACTCCTCAAAACTCGTGCTTGAAAATGCCCTTCACAGGGAAGGTGACAGGAAGCTGACCCTCCTCACCTCTCATTGCAGCCTAGAGTACAAGGCACACCTGGCTTCCAGCAGCCTACCTACATTATGAAGGGTTATCTGGTGTGAATCTGAGCTATTAGTGGCTTCACCCACATAATGAACACAATTAGTTTTACACCTTTGGAAAGAAAGGGCTAGAGGCTTCTGTGTTTTCTTCGCCTCAAACTCTTCCTTCCTCCCCCCTAAAAAATCCCCCCCCCCCCGGCTGTCCACAATCCTCTCAGTCCAAGTCAAAACAGTATTTTCAAAAGACGCTGCCAAGGTAGTTTCAAACTTGAGTCATTTGAGGTGAATTTTAATAAACTTCTTTCCTTTCTTTCCGCTTTTCAATGTCTACTTAAGAACAAATACAAAGTCAACTTCCATGGTCTTTATAGTTCAAGCCCAATAAAAAGACATTAAAATTCCAATAAGCAATAATGTCCTTTTACTGCATTTTAGTACTAAAAAAGTAAGTAGTTCTAAGACCGCTGTGGCTGTTAGTACTTAAATGACCAAATTATCTTAATTGTCACAGAAGTGGTACTAAAGTTTGAGAAAGAGAGAGTGCATATGTGAGAAAGAGGGAAAAGTGCCATCGTTACCCTCACTTTTGTAAAGGGAACATTTGTTTGCATTCCAGTCAACGGCAAGCCACTTCCTAGTAAATCAAAACCCAAAGAGGTACGAGTGGTGAAATTATATGGCATGTGCCACCCTTGGCTGAGTAGTAGTAAATTTAACTCCATTGTGCAGAAAGCTGCTGTGCAGAATTATGAGTCCATTTGATTCCAATTTAATCAACTTGAAGTTCCAAGCTGGCCCATTTTGCGGCTGAGGGACATTGCATCACAATGCACAACACATTTTTTTTTTTTTCTGTTTGGCAGAAAGCTCTTTGGATCCTTGTTGCCCAACTCAGTGTCAAAAGATGTCTGCGAGCCCCAGGATGGTGTGCAGCTAGGATGCACTTCATTTCAGCTGAATATACTTGCACCAAGAACCATCTACCCAAAGGCAAAAGGAAAGGAGGTAGTGGCAGAAATAATAGTACCTAAAACTAGAATTCCATCGTTTCCTAAACTAACTAGGTTCATCTCTGATAATAAATTTTCCTTCTTTTCACACAAAGAAGGAGAATTTGCCTCACCTTCCCCAACAATATCCATAGCATCTTTTTTCCCCTCCTTACAGCAAATTCCTGGAAAGAATGGTCTATCCTAACAGTTTGCGTGTCCCTTCCTCTATTCTGCAGGACCCACCCCTAACACGCATTTGCCCCCCTGATTACACAGAAATAATTCTTAACAATTTACGACTGATCTTCATTTTGAAATGCCTAATGATCATCGCTTAGTCCTTAGCTTCCTTGACCTATTAAGAACACTGGAGATTAATGTTTCCCTCTTTCTTGGAAGGTGTTTTTCACTCGGCTTCTAGGACAGTCTTTCCTAGAAGGTTCTTCCAAACCTTCCAAACCTGCCTTTGAGGCTACATGCTTCATGGTCCCAGTCCGTAGTTGATGGAGTATTCCTGACTCATCCATACCTACTCACTAGACGTTTTCATCCAATATGGCTCTCAGTTCCACCCATATGCCGATGACCACATTGGCATCTCTAGTCTCAATATGTCTCCTATAATCCAGACATTTTTTATTAAACAACTGCAAATAAATATCTAATGAGTATCTTACAGTTAAAGCTTCCCAAACACTCACTTAATTCCTATGTGTTTGCAATCCAAGGTGCCATCTTTTCCACTTCATTAACTGATGATTCTACCCTATCAAACCAAGACCTTGTTTGGTCTTTACTTCCCTTTCTCACATTCTACTTCCAATCCATCAGCAAATCCTGCTGTTTTACATTCAAATATACTCTGAACCTGCCCGCTTTGTACTATCGACAATGTCACCTCCCTGGTCCAAGGAACCGTCTTCTCATGCTTAGATTCTTTTTTAATTTTTTTTTCCTAAAGTCATTCAGAGTAGTAAAGATCAGTTTTATTCTAGGTAATACACCATCTATTAATTAAAAACAATAAGAGATTTTCATTTCCTAATGTTTTACACTATATTAACATACAAATGTTAGTTTCAAAATAATTACTATTTTTGATGATCACAGTTGATTTGTAGGGTACTAGTGGAAAGAGTTAATTATCCACTGTGGGAACAAGGCATGATCCCATGTTCAGGATTCGCTCCATGTTGTGCTCCCTCCTCATGGGTAGCCTATTTCTCTTTCTTTTTTTTTTTCTTTTTATTTATTATTTATTTATATTTATTTATGTTCAATTTGCCAACATATCGAATAACACCCAGTGCTCATCCCATCAAGTGCCCCCCTCAGTGCCTGTCACCCAGTCACCCCCACCCCCCCGCCCACCTCCCCTTCCACCCCCCCTTGTTTGTTTCCCAGAGTTAGGAGTCTCTCATGTTCTGTCTCCCTTTCTGATATTTCCCACTCATTTTTTCTCCTTTCCCCTTTATTCCCTTTCACTATTTTTTACATTCCTCAAATGAATGAGACCATATAATGTTTGTCCTTCTCCGATTGACTTTTTTCACTCAGAATCATACCCTCCAGTTCCATCCATGCTTAAATTCTTATGAGACTTCTAACCATCCTTCCTATTTTCACCTGGATTTTATTCAACATACAAATATCAAGGTAATTCTTTGAACACTTGAGTCAGATCAAATCTTCCCTATATTCACAACCCATCTATGCCTTCCCATCTTATCCAGGGTGACATCCTGGTAATTTTTCATGACTCACAGCACCCACTATATCTTTCACTGACTCTGCTTCTACCACCACCTAAGCACCCTTATTAGATCCACACCTCACCTAACAGTTCCTCACACCAACCCCCCTACACCCACCTCAGCATGTGCTCTTCTCAGGGCCTTTGTACTCACTGTATAGAATGCTCTGTCCTGGGACACCTGGGTGGCTCAGTGGTTGAGCACCTCACTCCAGCTCGGGGCATGATCCTGGGATCCTGGGGATCGAGTCTCTCACATCAGGCTCCCCTCAGGGAGCCTGCTTCTCTCTCCCTCTGCCTGTGTCTTTGCCTCTCTCTCTCTCTCTCTGTCTCTCATGAATAAATAAATAAAATCTTTTTTTAAAAATTAAAAAAGAATGTTCTGTCCTCAGGATGTTCCTTCTCATGCTTCCACTAGGGCTCTGTCCAAATGTGTCTTTATCAGAAAAGATTTCCATGATTCATATAAAATAGCATCCTGGGCCCATTACTATTAATTAATCCCTTTGTCCTGCTTTATTTTTCTTTATGACATATTTTGCATTTTGTCACTAGCCCTCTTTCCTCATTAACCTCGAACATAATGTGACTTTCTTTTGCTTGCTTCTATATCTGGAGTGAATAGAAGGGTTTCTGGCACATAAAATATTTTTTTTTTTTTTAGTAAGTTTCAGAATTACTTAAATAGTTACTTCACAACAATCAGTAGAATCAACAAAATGGAATTATACTTGCCTGATTTAGAAGAATACTTAAAAAGTGATTAAGAATGACAAAGTTTGGGAACTCTTGACTTTCAAATATATAACATTTGTGAGGCAATCTCACCAGATAGAACAGGGTCACGTCAATCACACCTTGTGACACTTTATAAAGGTCATGCATGTTTGAAATAAAATTCTCCTTGACATAATATAAATAATGAGCCCTGGTATAATAATTAGGAAATATTGATTTGGGAAATCAGATGGCTCAGGCTTTCTGAGATATAGGGATAGAGAGCCAAGAATCACAGGCTTATGATGACTTGGCATCTTTTTATCTTGCTTGAATCCATCTTTAGCTTGTGTGAATCCATAGGGCACATGCTTAGTACATCTGGCTGAGTGTTCTGGTCCCAATAATGTTTCTCTATAACTATTAATGTAAAACCACCTCGAATTAATACCTCTGCTAAATTAAACTTGACATGGTTCGAAATGCAAGCCAATATGTTTCCAATTCCACAATCACAAATCACTGTCATTTTATGAATTCTAGACACAGAAGCTTAAAATGTATTAACTTTGTTAAACAACATCTGATTTTATGACTCAAATGTCAGTCTTCACAGTTCAGCAAATTCTTTTAAATATTCTACAGTGTTTCTTATATTACCCCCATAGACATTTATAAAGAACTTCTTTTGTGTGTGTTTTTTTTTAAGTAGGCTATAGTGGAAAAAAAAAAGCTGTCAAATTTTACTCATCTCTACTATACCTATTAGTCTTTACCTTGACCTTAGATTTACCACCCTTCCCCAACAAAGAAACCAAATATCTAGAAAAAGCAAAAAACCTCAAGATCATTTAGTATTCATTTCACAAAGAGCATTCTGGTTACCCTTTGAAGAGCAAGTTGACATATTACCACCTTCGAATTCAAAACGTCTTAAGGGAGTATTTCAGCTCCATCATTAAGAAAACGGTTTCATTTCATGAGATGCAACAAATAAGGACACAAACAGAATATGTCACAACATGAACTCTCCTCTAAACCTCATCACTAACATCTAATTCTGTTTTGTACAGCTCGCTGCCTACACCTACCACCTGAGACCCTGATTGTTCTACATTCTTTCTCCCACAAGTTACCATTCTTTCTCTTCCTATTTGTCATGCCCTAATATGTCCTTGTATGAACAGTGTATGCTCATTAATAGTGAAATATCTGTCCCTTTTCCCCTTACTTATCACTTACTTCTCTTTTTGTATTATTCCAACTCATTTAGCACTCACAGCCTAATACAAGTATTTTTGGAAACAATATCCTCAATAATATATAGCCAAATGTGCATGATCACATTTTGTAGGGCACAATTAAGGACTGTGAAACAGCCTGGATTAATTTAGAGCTAACCTACCAGAATTGACTAACAAAAATGAACATTAATTACCATACCCTGCCTCCTTACTACAGCTGAGTTTAATGTTCATGTCTTTAATATTAGCAAAATAACACAAAGATGAATACACTCTTGTGGCCTTACCATATGATGAGAAAGACTGAGCATTTGTACAAACATTGTAATTGTGTGCCGCTACCCTGTTTAGCTAACATTTGTCTCAAGCAGAAAAAACTAAAATAATACACGC